ACGATTTCTGCAGTGTTTAAAGAACGAGCTGAAAAAGTCGAAGGGGAGCATGAATCAACGAGTGTTTAAGAAAAATGTGCATGTATTTTGATGTGTGTGTGTGTGTGTATTTTGATGAAGTTTATTTAAATGTTCCTCCAAGCAAGTCATAAGTGCTTGTCCAATGTGTCGATTGAACGGCAATTTTTATAAACGTCAAGCAAAACTTTGCAATTCTAGCACAGATAATCTACGGTACTTATTGGTTCAACGATGACCAGAAGCGACGAATCATACAAATGCATAATCAGTTGCGTGCATCCGAACCTGCATCGAACATGCAAGAGCTCGTTTGGGATGATCGACTAGCTGCCTTAGCGCATGGACATGTGCAACGATGTGACGCATGGCACCGTAGCGGTTTGTACTTAAGTTTATAATTGAAATTTGTGCAGTGATTGGAAAGCTGCAATAACAACAGAATACTAATCCGAGGAATCCTCTCTGCACAGCAGTGGCAGAATCCATCAATCTTTAAAAGTAGACTGTTCAAGCTCGAATCGAGCCTTCTGTTGTCGAGAACGCAACTAGATATCAGTGATATAAGTGTTTATTGTGAGTTTCACTCATGCTTTTTGTTATTTTTACTAAATGCAATACAGAGGCATTACTTAGCTACTGCAGCACACAACTGTCATAAGAAATGAACGAATCTGCCTATAAGTTTAATCGAATTTCCGTTCAAGAAAATTCAGCAAAGATTTCTGAACGACCATTCATANTACTGCAGCACACAACTGTCATAAGAAATGAACGAATCTGCCTACAAGTTTAATCGAATTTCCGTTAAAATTCAGCAAAGATTTCTGAACGACCATTCATAAAACTTTTTTTGCACATCAATTAGTTGCAAACTGTGACAGTATTGGCATGTTTAGATTGCCCTTTTTACAACGCAACATTTTATTGTGTGACGTAATCGCTGACATGTTGCAATAACGTAATCACTGTCATTAATTTGTGCCACTTTAAGTAATCAATGCTATTTGTCAGTGTTAACTTGAATTGTATGGTGATGACGATTCCTCAGAAATTCATGGCCTATTCATCACCTATCGCCAGGCGATAAAAGTATAGAGAAGCAAAGATAATGATAGACTAAATAACCAAACTGGATGGCATCGTTTCCATGAAGATTCTTCGCTTCAATTAGTTCAGGAAGATGAATGGTGAATCGAAAGATCCGTTGAAAGGATGAGGGTTAGGTCTGGTAATTAATCCGATCACCTTGGTGAACTAAGTGCTACTTTCTTTACGCTTCGTTTCAGCAGAAAAGAATTTGCCATGTTCAATGGCTGCTTTTGAAGAATAGCGAACGATACCTCCTCGGAAAATATCACATTCTTCAGTTCACTGAATTTGTTCCGATCAGCAGAACAAGTTTCATACAAGTACATTGACAGCACTTTTGGTATTCATTTCACTCTGCGAGCCAACGCGAAAAACTTCGAAACGCTGTGATCGGTGAACATCGCAAATGAATTGATTTATGAAGCGATCATTATTGATGCGAATCAATCGCAAAATAATTCATCGAATCGTTTCCTAAAGGAACACTCACGAAGAGAACACATTTTAAGGTGTCTTCAAATCAAATGAAAAGTGCAGAAATAAATTTTACAAACGTCGCAACCTAACGACATTCTTTATGGCGCTCTATACACTACATAATACATACGTTCCGAAAACGCGCAAATGATGAATAGAAATTGCAACGGATAATCAATAAAACATCATGCGATTGTTAATAGATCAACATAGTCCATTTTTGTGCATAAAACAAACGACTTAAGGAAGAATGAGTTAATTTTCGATTATGGATGAACAACAGTTGAATTTTATTTGCATAATTATAACGGATGACATTAAAAGCAACAGCGTNTTAGTTGAATGCAATCTCACATTCAGTTTCGCAGTTCAACGATGTACTGAGGTTGATGTTAGAGCCCTTGGCGGTGATGTATACTAGTTTGCAAAATTTTTGATTCGAACGATGTCCTCATCATTTTTCATTGCAAATTTGGACTGCTGAAATTTTTGTTCCACTGCATTAGGTGAATCAACGCACAAAATGATTTGCAAGTTCATTTTGTCGTTCTGAAGACATTTTTCTTCTCAGAAAGACGAAAAAAACTACATCATTTGGAAGAAAAGTTGAAGAATTTATGGTGTCACGATGGAACAAGTTTTTTAAACTTTCGCAAAAAGTACGGACATATTCGAATGGAAGCACATGATCAATCATATTACGCTATTGAGTGTAAATTTTGCATGAGATCATAGGGATGTTTTCCTT